CAACTCAATGGACAATTACATAATCATTAATAACCATGATGACAGAATGGATATAATGTAAGTTATATTAATCAACAACAACAAAAAAAACAACTCAGATCAAAAATGGGTAAAGAACTTGAGTGATCATTTGTCCCAAGGAAACATACTAATGGCCAATAAGCACATAAAAAGAGCTCAACATCATTAGTCATTAGGGAAATGCAACCAAAACCACAGTGAGATACCACATCACATCTTCTAAGATGGTTATAAGTTTTTAAAAAAATAAAGAAAGTGTTGACTAGGATATGTAGAAATTGAAATCCTCATATATCGTTTGAGCAGTTGTAAAATGGTACAGTGCTGTTGCTACGGAAAACAGTTTGGTAGTTCCTCAAAAAGTTAAACAGAATTACCATACAACCCAGCAATTCTACTTCTAGGTATATACCCAAGAGAATACTTGAAAATAGATGTTCAAATATTTGTATATAAATGTTTGCAGCAACAGTATTCATAATAGTCCAAAGGTAGAAATAATCCAATGATGAATGGATAAACAAAATGTGTATACTCATGCATTAAAGTATTATTCATCCATAAAAAGAAATCAGGTGATAGTTGCACACCAATGTTCACAGTAGCATTATTTACAACAGCGAAAAGCTAGAAGCAACCCAAGTGTCCACTATCAAATGAATGGATAAACAAACTGTGGTATATACGTACAATGAAATATTATTCAGCCAAAAAAAGAATTAAATTCTGATATATGCTATAACGTGGACAACCCTTGAGAACATTATGCTAAGTGAAATAAGCCAGACACAAAAGGATAAGTATTGTGCAATTCCACTTATATGAGTGACCTACAGAGACAGAAACCAGAAGTTACCAGAAACCAGGGGCAGGAGGAAGGTGGGGTTACCACTTATTGGCTACAGAATTTCTGTTCTGGATGATTAAAAAGTTCTGGAAACAGGTAGTGGTGATGGTTACAAAACATTGTAAATGTATTTAACGTTCCTGAATAGTTCAATAACAAGTAGTTAAAATGGTTAATTTTACGTTATGCATATTTCACCACAATTTTTTATTTATTTATTTATTTATTTTGAGATGGAATCTTTCTCTGTCGCCCAGGCTGGAGTGCAGTGGTGCGATCTTGGCTCACTGTAAGTTCCGCCTCCTGGGTTCACACCATTCTCCTGCCTCAGCCTCCCAAGTAGCTGAGACTATAGGTGCCCGCCACCACACCTGGCTAATTTTTGTATTTTTTAGTAGAGACAGGGTTTCACTGTGTTGGCCAGGATGGTCTCGATCTCCTGACCTCGTGATCCACCCACCTCGGCCTGCCAAAGTGCTGGGATTACAGGCGTGAGCCACCATGTCTGGCCCACAATTTTTAAAAGAACAAAGAAACATCAGATTTAAACTACATACTAGACCTAAGAGGCCTGACATTTACAGAATATTTCACCAACTGCTACAGAATAGACATTCTTTTCACTAGCACACAGGACATCCTACAAAAAAGACCATATATCAGGCCACAAAACAAGTCTGAACAAATCCAAAAAAGAAGAAATCATATCAAGTACCTTTTTATTTTAATTTCTTTTTTTTTTTTTTTTTTTTTTTTATTGAGACAGAGTCTCACACTGTTGCCTGGCCTGGAGTGCAATGACGTGATCTCAGTTCACTGCAACCTCCACCTCCTAGGTTCATGTGATTCTCCTGCCTCAGCCTCCTGAGTAGCTGGGATTACAGTCACACACCACCACACCCAGATAATTTCAAGTACCTTTTTAAAGCACAATGGAATAAAGTTAGAAATAAAACCAAAATAACAAGAGAAGTCTTGGAAACTTCACAAGTGCATGGAAATTAAATTACATACTCCTGAATGATCAATGGATCAATGAATAAATTAAGACAGAAATTTTAAAATGTCTTGAAATAAATGAAAATGAAAATACAACATACCAAAATCTACGCAATAGAGGAAAAGCAGTACTAAGGGTGAAGTTTATAGCCATAAACACCTATATCAAAAAAATAGAAGGACTTCAAATAAACAACATAACAATGCACCCCAAGGAACTAGAAAAGCAGGAAAAAACAAACCCAAAATTAATAGAAGGAAAGAAACAATAAACATCAGACCAGAAATAAAAGAAATTGAGACAAAAAAGTGCAAAGGATCAACCAAATTAAAAGTTAGTTTTTTGGAAAGATAAACAAAATCAACAAACCTTTAACTAGACTAAGGAAAAAAAGAGAGAAGATCCCCTTTCAGACAAGCAAATGCTGAAGGAATTCATAACCACCAGACCTGCCTTACAAGAGCTCCTGAAGGAAGCATTAAATATGGAAAGAAAAGACCATTACCAGCCACTACATGAAGACACGGAGGTATACAGACCAGTGATACTATAAAGCAACCACATAAACAAGTTTAAAAAATAACCAGCTAACATCACAATGGCAGGATCAAATCTGCACATATCAATACTAACCTTGAATTTAAATTGGCTAAATGTCCCAAATAAAAGACGCAGAATAGCAAGCTGAATAAAGAAACAAGACCCATTGATATGCTGTCTTCAAGAGGCCCATCTCACATTTAATGACACACATAGGCTCAAAAGAAAGAGATGGAGATCGGGGGGCAGGGCATAGCTGAACAAAAGGCAGCAGAAACTTCTGCAGACTTAAATGTCCCTGTCTAACAGCTCTGAAGACAGCAGTGGTTCTCCCAGCATGGTGTTTGAGCTCAGAGAATGGACAGACTGCCTCCTCAAGTGGGTCGCTTACCCCTGTGTAGCCTAAATGGGAGACACCTCCCAGAAGGGTACGACTAACACCTCATACAGGTGGGTGCCCCTCTGAGACAAAGCTTCCAAAGGAAGGATCAGGCAGCAATATTTGCTGTTCTGCAATATTTGCTGTTCTGCAGCCTCTGCTGGTGATACCCAGGCAAACAGGGTCTGGAGTGGACCTCCACCAGACTCCGACAGACCTGCAGCTGAGAGACCTGTTAGAAGGAAAACTAACAAACAGAAAGGAATAGCATCAACATAACAAAAAGGACATCTACACCAAAACCCCATCTGTAGGTTACCAACATCAAACCAAAGGTAGATAAAACCACAAAGATGCAGAGAAACCAGGGCAGAAAAGCTGAAAATTCTAAAAACCAGAGAGCCTCTTCTCCTCCAAAGGATCACAGCTCCTCACTAGCAACAAAAGAGAGCTGGATGGAGAATGACTTTGACAAGCTGACAGAAGTAGGCTTCAGAAGGTCAGTAATAACAAACTTCTCCGAGCTAAAGGAGGATGTTCGAACCCATCACAAGGAAGCTAAAAACCTTAAAAAAAATTAGACAAATGGCTAACTAGAATAAACAGTGTAGAGAAGATCTTAAATGACCTGATGGAGCTGAAAACCATGGCACGAGAACTACGTAACACATACACAAGCTTCAACAGCCAATTTGATCAAGTGGAAGAAAAGATATCAGTGATTGAATATCAAATTAATGAAATAAAGTGAGAAGAGAAGTTTAGAGGAAAAAAGAGTAAAAAGAAATGAACAAAGCCTCCAAGAAACATGGGACTATGTGAAAAGACCAAATCTACGTTTGATTGGTGTACCTGAAAGTGACGTGGAGAATGTAACCAAATTGGAAAACACTCTTCAGGATATTACCCAGGAGAACTTCCCCAACCTAGCAAGGCAGGCCAACATTCAAATTCAGGAAATACAGAGAACACCACAAAGACACTCCTCAAGAAGATCAACTCCAAGACACATAATTGTCAGATTCACCAAAGTTGAAATGAAGGAAAAAATGTTAAGGGCAGCCAGAGAGAAGGGTCGGGTTACACACAAAGGGAAGCCCACCAGACTAACAGTGGATCTCTTGGCAGAAACTCTACAAGCCAGAAGAGAGTGGGGGCCAATATTCAACATTCTTAAAGAAAAGAATTTTCAACCCAGAATTTCATATTCAGCCAAACTAAGCTTCATAAGTGAAGGAGAAATAAAATCCTTTACAGACAAGCAAACACTGAGAGATTTTGTCACCACCAGGGCTGCCTTACAAGAGCTCCTGATGGAAGCACTAAACATGGAAAGGAAAAACCAGTACCAGCCACTGCAAAAACATGCCAAATTGTAAAGACCACCAATGCTAGGAAAAAACTGCATCAACTAACGGGCAAAATAACCAGCTAACATCATAATGGCAGGATCAAATTCACACACAACAATATTAACCTTACATGTAAATGGGCTAAATGCCCCAGTTAAAAGACACAGACTGGCAAATTGGAGAAACAGTCAAGACCCATCAGTGTGCTGTATTCAGGAGACCCATCTCACATGCAGAGACACATATAGGCTCAAAATAAAGGGATGGAAGAAGATCTACCAAGCAAATGGAAAACAAAAAAAAAAAAAAAAAAAAGGCAGGGGTTACAATCCTAGTCTCTGATAAAACAGACTTTAAACCAACAAAGATCAAAAGAGACAAAGAAGGCCATTGCATAATGGTAAAGGGATCAATTCAACAAAAAGGGCTTTCTAAATATATATGTACCCAATACAAGAGCACCCAGATTCATAAAGTAAGTGCTTAGAGACCTACAAAGAGACTTAGAACACCACACAATAATAATGGGAGACTTTAACACCCCACTGTCAATATCAGACAGATCAACGAGACAGAAAGTTAACAAGTATATCCAGGACTTGAACTCAGATCTGGACCGAGCAGACCTAATAGACATCTACAGAACTCTCCACCCCAAATCAACAGCATATACATTCTTCTCAGCACCACATCGCACTTATTACAAAATTGACCATATAGTTGCAAGTAAAGCACTCCTCAGCAAATGTGAAAGAACAGAAATCACAACAAACTCTCTCAGACCACAGTGCAATCAAATTAGAAGTCAGGATTAAGAAACTCACTCAAGACACCCGGAAGTGTCTCCAGGGAGAGGAAGTCGCCGGCCTCACCGGTATGGGCCGCAACAAGAAGAAGAGGAAAGATGGTGACGACCGGCGGCCCAGGCTGTTCTCAGCTTCGACGAGGAGAAGAGGCGGGAGTACCTGACTGGCTTCCACAAGCGGAAGGTCGAGCGGAAGAAGGCAGCCATTGAGGAGATTAAGCAGCGGCTAAAAGAGGAGCAGAGGAAGCTTCGGGAGGAGCGCCACCAGGAATACTTGAAGATGCTGGCAGAGAGAGAAGAGGCGCTGGAGGAGGCAGATGAGCTGGACCAGTTGGTGACAGCAAAGACGGAGTCGGTGCAGTATGACCACCCCAACCACACAGTCACCGTGACCACCATCAGTGACCTGGACCTCTCAGGGGCCCGGCTGCTCGGGCTGACCCCACCTGAGGGAGGGTCTGGAGACGGGTCTGAGGAGGCGGCCTCATCCATGGAGAAGCCAACCAAAGCCTTGCCCAGGAAGTCCAGAGACCCCCTGCTCTCTCAGCGGATCTCCTCTCTCACAGCCTCACTGCATGCACACAGCCGCAAAAAGGTCAAGAGGAAACATCCCCAACGGACCCAGGACTCCAAGAAGCCCCCAAGGGCCACTCGTACCAGCAAGGACGGCGTACCAGCGCCGCCGTCTGACAGGCAAAGCGCGGCACAGCGGGGAGTGAGACCAAGAACCAAGCGGTGGCCCAGCCTAGGCTGCGAGGACCTGTCCTTTCTCAGCTTGGCTGTCCCTGTAGCCCAGCCTGCACCTAGGTAATGACTGCACAGCTCAAGGTTGGGAAGCCAGGACCTATCTGGCCTGGGGCCAGCTGCCTTTGCCTGGCGTTTGAATTCCAGAAGGAGCAGGCAGCAGAGAACAGGCCTCCCCCAGGAAGAGCCTTCAGAGCCGTGCTGGGGCATCTTCCCAAATGTGCACCCCACCTGGCACTCATCAGATTTCTGGAACTCAGAGATTTGTGTGCTTGTGATTTGTTTGTCCGTGATGCCACGCACACGGCAGGTTTCTGCAGTGGTGGAAATGGTCGGGGCCCATGGGTCTGTCTCCAGCAGTTTGCCCTGTGGCTACAATAAAGTACAGTTCTCCCTGAAAAAAAAAAAAAAAAAGAAACTCACTCAAAACCGCACAACTACATGGAAACTGAACAACCTGCTCCTGAATGACTACTGGGTATATAATGAAACGAAGGCAGAAATAAAGATGTTCTTTGAAACCAATGAGAACAAAGACACAACATACCAGAATCTCTGGGACATATTTAAAGCAGTGTGTAGAGGAAAATGTAGAGCAGTAACAGCCCACAAGAGAAAGCAGGAAATAATCTAAAATCGACACCCTTACATCACAATTAAAAGAACTAGAGAAGCAAGAGCAAACAAATTCAAAAGCTAGCAGAAGGCAAGAAATAACTAATATCAGAGCAGAACTGAAGGAAATCGAGACACACAAAACCCTTCAAAAACTCAATGAATCCAGGAGCTGGTTTTTTGAAAAGATCAACAAAATTGATAGACCACTAGCAAGACTAATAAAGAAGAAAAGAGAGAAGAATCAAATCGACGCAATAAAAAATGATAAAGGGGATATCACCACTGATCCCACAGAAATACAAACTACCATCAGAGAATACTATAAACACCTCTATGCAAAAAAAACTAGAAAATCTAGAAGAACTGGATAAATTCCTGGATACATACACCCTCCCAAGACTAAACCAGGAAGAAGTTGAATCCCTGAGTAGATCAATAACAGGCTCTGAAATTGAGGCAATAATTAATAGCCTACCAACCAAAAAAAGTCCAGGACCAGATGGATTCACAGCTGAATTCTACCAGAGGTACAAAGAGGAGCTGGTATCATTCCTTCCGAAACTATTCCAATCAATAGAAAAAGAAGGAATCCTCCGTAACTCATTTTATGAGACCAGCATCATCCAGATACCAAAGCCTGGCAGAGACACAACAACAACAAAAAAAGAGAATTTTAGACCAATATCCCTGATGAACATTGATGCAGAAATCCTCAATAAAATACTGGCAAATTGAATCCAGCAGCACATCAACTGGATCCACCATGACTGATCCACAACGATCAAGTCAGCTTCATCCCTGGGATGCAAGGCTGGTTCAACATATGCAAATCAATAAATATAATCCATCACATAAACAGAACCAATGATGAAAACCACATGATTATCTCAATAGATGCAGAAAAGGCCTTTGACAAAATGCAACAGCCCTTCATGCTAAAAACTCTCAATAAACTAAGTATTGATGGACCGTATCCCAAAATAATAAGAGCTATTTATGACAAACCCACAGCCAATATCATACTGAATGGGTAAAAATTGGAAGCATTCCCTTTGAAAACCGGCACAAGACAGGGATGCCCTCTCTCACCACTCCTATTCAACATAAGTATTGGAAGTTCTGGCCAGGGCAATCAGGCAAGAGAAAGAAATAAAGGGTATTCACTTAGAAAAAGAGGAAGTCAAATTGTCCCTGTTTGCAGATGACATGATTGTGTATTTAGAAAACCCCATCGTCTCAGCCCACAATCTTCTTAAGCTGATAAGCAACTTCGGCAAAGTCTCAGGATACAAAATCAACGTGCAAATATCACAAGCATTCCTACACACCAGTAACAGACACACAGAGAGCCAAATCATGAGTGAACTCCCATTCACAATTGCTACAAATAGAATAAAATACCTAGGAATACGACTTGCAAGGGATGTGAAGGACCTCTTCAAGGAGAACTACAAACCACTGCTCAAGGAAATCAGAGAAAGGACACAAACAAATAGAAAAACATTTCATGCTTATGGAGAGAAGAATCAATATCATGAAAATGGCCATACTGCCCAAGGTAATGTATAGATTCAATGCCATCCCCATCAAGCTACCAATGACTTTCTTCACAGAATTGGAAAAAACTACTTTAAAGTTCATATGGAACCAAAAAAGAGCCCGCATAGCCAAGACAATCCTAAGCAAAAAGAACAAAGCTGAAGGCATCATGCTACCTGACTTCAAACTATACTACAAGGCTACGGTAACCAAAACAGCATGGTACTGGTACCAAAATAGAGATATAGACCAATGGAACAGAACAGAGGCCTCAGAAATAACACCACACACCTACAACCATCTGATATTTGACAAACCTGACAAAAACAAGAAATGGGGAAAGGATTCCCTATTTAACAAATGGTGCTAGGAAAACTGGCTAACCATATGTAGAAAGCTCACACTGGATCCCTTCCTTACATCTTATACAAAGATTAATTCAAGATGGATTAAAGACTTAAATGTAAGACCTAAAACCATAAAAACCTAGAAGAAAACCTAGGCAATACCAATCAGGACATAGGCATGGGCAAGGACTTCATGACTAAAACACCAAAAGCAATGGCAACAAAAGCTGAAATAGACAAATGGGACCTAATTAAACTAAAGAGCTTCTGCAGAGCAAAAGAAACTACCATCAGAGTGAACAAGCAACCTACAGAATGGGAGAAAATGTTTGCAATCTACGCATCTGACAAAGGACTAATATCCAGAATCTACAAAGAACTTAAACAAATTTCCAAGAAAAAGACAAACAACCCCATCAAAAAGTGGAGAAAGGATATGAACAGAGACTTCTCAAAAGAAGACATTTATGCAGCCAACAGACACATGAAAAAATGCTCATCATCACTGGTCATCAGAGAAATGCAAATCAAAACCAGAAAGAGATACCATTTCACACCAGTTAGAATGGCGATCATTAAAAAGTCAGGAAACAACAGATGCTGGGGAGGATGTGGAGAAACAGGAACAGTTTTACACTGCTGGTGGGAGTGTAAACTAGTTCAACCATTTGGAAGACAGTGTGGTGATTCCTCAGGGATCTAGAAGCAGAAATACCATTTGACCCAGCGATCCCATTGCTGGGTATATACCCAGAAGATTATAAATCATGCTACTATAAAGATACATGCACATGTATGTCTATTGCGGCACTATTCACAATAGCAAAAACTTGCAACCAACCCAAATGTCTGTCAATGATAGACTGGATTAAGAAAATGTGGCACATATACACCATGGAATACTATGCAGCCATAAAAAAGGATGAGCTCATGTCCTTTGCAGGGACATGGATGCAGTTGGAAACCATCATTCTGAGCAAACTATCGCAAGGACAGGAAACTAAACACCACATGTTCTCACTCATAGGTGGGAACTGAACAATGAGAACACTTGGACACAGGTAGGTGAACATCATACCCCGGGGCCTGTCATGGGGTGGGGGGCAGCAGGAGGGATAGTATTAGGAGAAATACCTAATGTAAACAACGAGTTGATGGGTGCATTAAACCAACATGGCACATGTATACCTATGTTACAAACCTGCACGTGGTGCACATGTACCCTAGAACTAAAGTATAATAAAATAAAATAAAAATAAAATCTAATAAAATAAATAAATAAATAAATAGAGGAAGAAAATTCTACCATGCAAATGGAAAACAGAAAAAAGTAGGAGTTGCAATCCTAGTTTCTGACAAAACAGACTGTAAGTCAACAAATCACAAAAGACAAAGAAGGGCATTACATAATGGTAAAGGGTTCAACTCAACAAGATATAACCATCCTGAATTATATTCGCCCAACACAGGAGGACTCAGATTAATAAAGCAGGTTCCTAGAGACCATCAAAGAAACTTATACTTCCAGACAATGATAGTAGGAGACTTTAGTATGCCACTGACAATATTAGATCATTGGGACAGAAAAGTAACAATGATATTCAGGACCGGAACTCAGTACTAGATCAAATAGACCTGATAGATATCTACAGAAGTCTCCATCCAAAAGCAACAGAATATACATTCTTCTCATTGCCACATGGAACGTACTCTAAAATCAATCACATAATCAGAAGTAAAATGCTCCTCAGCAAATGCAAAAGCACTAAAATCGTAACAATCTCTCGTACCACAGTGCAATCAAATTAGAAATCAAGACTAAGAAATTCATTCAAACCCATGCAATTACATGTAAATTGAATAACCTGCTCCTGAATGACTTTCAGGTAAATAATGAAAATAAGGCAGAAATCAAGAAGTTCCTTGAAATGAATGAGAACGAAGATATAACATACCAGAATCTCTGGGATACAACCAAGGCAGTGTTAGAGGGGAAATTTATAGCACTAATTGCCCACATCAAAAAGTTAGAAAGATCTCAAGTTAACAACCTAACATCACAACTGAGAGAACTAGAGAACTAAGAGCAAACAAACCCCAAAGCTACTAGAAGACAAGAAATAACCAAAATTGGAGCTGAACTGAAAGAGACTAAGAAGGGAAAAATCATTCAAAAGATCAATGAATCCAGGGGGTGGTTTTCAAAAAAAAATAAAATAGACTGCTAGCTAGATTAATGAAGAAGAGAGAAGATTCAAAAAAACACAATCAGAAACAACAAGGAGGATCTTACCACTGATCCCACAGAAATACAAACAATCATCAGAGAATATTAAGAACATCTCTATGCACATAAACTAGAAGATCTAGAAGAAATGGATAAATTCCTGGACACATACACCCTTCCAAGACTGAACCAGAAAAAAAAAATAGAATCCCTGAACAGACCAATAACAAGCTCTGAAATTGAATCAGTAATAAACAGCCTACCAACCAAAAAAAAAAGCCCAGGACCAGAGAGATTCTCAGTTGAATTCTACCAGATGTACATAGAAGAGCTGGTACCATTCCTGCTAAAACTATTCCAAAAAACTGAGGAGAAGGGACTCCTCCCTAACTCATTTTATGAGGCCAGCATCATCCTGACACTAAAATATGGCAGAGATACAACAAAAAAAAAAAAAGGAAACTTCAGGCCAATATCCTTGATGAACACTGATGCAAAAATACTCAACAAAATACTAGCAACCTGAATCGAGCAGCACATCAAAAAACTTATCCACCATGAACAAGTAGGCTTTATCCCTGGGATGCAAGGTTGGTTCAACATACACAAATCAATAAATGTGATTCATCACATAAATAGAACTAAAGACAAAAACCACATAATTATCTCACTAGATGCAGAAAAGCC